GTCACATTTGCTATAATAAACCTTGTCACTTGCCATCAGCATGTGTCCCTTACCTGATCACTGATCCCCGCCTCTCCCTCGAGTAACCCACGGTCAGAGCAGGAATACGATAAGTGGCACGCAACGTGGTGCTCAAGTACGAGAGGCTAAGTGGCGGACCCTCTACAAGGAGACCCAAAGGACAAGGTCTCACGGACAAACACTGAGAGCAGAGGGCATTCGATCAGGTAAGAATGGGGGATAAACCGGGAAAGGCTCGGTATGTGAATATGTTTGTAAATATGCTCCAAACCAGAGGAGTGAGAGTAGACCATGGTCAGCTTTGTAAATTTATAGATTTTGTAAATACAGTTTGTCCTTGGTTCCCTGAAGATGGGATTGTAGATGTAAAATTATGGAATAAGATAGTACATGATTTGCAGGAATTTTATGCCAAGAACAAGCCCGCTCGAGTGCTTGCTGATACTTTCAGTTTGTGAAGGCTTGTCGGAGATACTTTTGATTTAAGTGGCTTGAACCTCCCCTCGGCGGGACATCTTCAGCGAGAAACTAAGCTCTTCAACTACAGCAGGACTAGTTACACTAAACCAATTTGCTACACCAACAAAATGACGAACTCGTTGTGTGAGGCCTTTTACAACACCATCAACATGACGCAGCACCTAGCCTGCCCCCGATCCGGGGACTGCCATTATAACACCAATAACTCTTCCCTCCCTGTATCTTTCTTTCTCTCTGAGCCCTGTTTTCCTTGTGGGCCCTCTTACCTTAGAGAATAGCACCTCATCAGGAGGGTATGAGAAATTTCATCTGAACTGCACGGGGTGCAACCTCACCTCATGAGTCGCTGTCCTAGCACCTAACATGATTTTTGCAATCCTAAAAAGACCAGCCTATGTGTTGCTGCCGGTAAACATCTCCCAAGAGTAGTATGATGACGCCGGCCTGCAGCTTATCAATGAGTTTACCACATTACGTTCTAGAACCAGACGGGGCGTTGGACTCACCGTGATAGGTGTGGTGTCCCTAATCTCACTGCTCGTTTCCCACACACCCATCACAGTTGCACTTACTCAGGAAATTCAGACTGCGGCTACTGTCAACGAGCTGATGGGCAATGTTACCTACAACTGGGACCGGCAAGAAAAGATTGATCTGGCCATTGAACATCGCTTGAATGGACTGTATGATACTATTAACTTACTTGGGGTTACTTTGGAGCAGGCCATGATCTGGCAACGCCTTGTGTGCCATGCTGATTATCGCTCCATTTGTGTAAATAAACTTGTGTATAATGCCTCAGCCTTCCCTTGGCCCATAGCGCAGGCCCATCTGCACAGAGTATGGATTGCTGAGAATATCAGCTGAGAATGGAATGAGTTACATGCACAAATAATTGCTATGCATTATGCCCCCTGCCTCGACAGCGCACCTGCAGAACTAGCTAAACAACTTCTCTGCAACCTTAAAAATTTGTTCCCTACTATACTTTCCCTCTCTCAATTGTGGGGTCCCATTCTAGCTATTGGCATACTTGTCATCTTTGCTTGTCTCCTCCTTCCCTGCCTTCTTTGGATGGCGGTTGCTCAGTATAAGGTACTGTGGAGTCGGCTTCAAGGCCTCCAGCTGAAGGCACTCCCCCGACACATGCAGGACGTGTAGCCAAAGATGGGTAAGGATCGGTGGACCCACAGTAAACCTAAGACAGAGCCATTGGCTTATGCTGCAATGAGTATCCATGATGGGTAAGACTGGGGACTCGCACTGACCACCTAAGACAGGCAACGTCCCTTATATAAATAAATAAGGGAGAGATTTTAGGGACCAAAAGTCTTACAGGCCTCACTAAGCTTTAAGGCTGGGTCTAACCAGACAGTGTCTGCTTATCAACACAGCAGGGAAGGTAGCTTTCCCAAGATCGCCTGATTCACAGTAAAGGACTGACTTGTAACTATGCAAAACAGCAATGACTTGCAAAACCACTCTATATATACTGAGATTGTAAATAAACTTTGTCACTAGCAATCAGCTGTGTCCCTTGCCTGTTCGTTAATCCTCGCCTCTCCTTCGGGAAACCTATGCAGTGGTCTGAGCAGGCTTCGGACCCCGATAAACATCCGCAATGATAACCCCACTTCAAAGTCCTTTTCTAAATCTGGCTTTACTTTCTGGCAGCTCCCACCCTTATAGATGTACACCTGAAATCGTTCTTCAGTTAGCTCTAGCTATTTTCACTGATGTGTCAAATTAAGGATATAGTTAGATAATTCCCACATTATGTTGGGAACCTTTTATGGGAAATGGGGAAAAATATGGATCTCTTAGGTCTTTTCGGCCAAGAAGCTCTCTTACAATTATTTGGCATGGACAACAGTACTCCCAGCACTGCATCATTTTGATGAGACATTTCAATTGGTATTCCATCATTTACTGGAATCTGATTTTTCACTAATTGCTTGGGTGTACTTGTAGTTCTTACAATAACATCAGTTATTGATCATACA